ATGAGTCCAAGAAACTGCCAGAAGAACTAAATGACAACATTTTCATTCCTGTTCTAAAGCCCCATGCTCTCCAGTATGGTAGCCATAGCCAGTGTGTCTATTTAAATGTAAATTAATGAAACTTTAACGAATAAAAAAAATTCAGTTCCCCAGTTGTACCAGCCACCCTTCAAGTGTTCAGTTGTCACATGTGACTGCTTTATTGAAGAATACAGATACAGAGCATTTTATTATTGCAGAAAATTCTACTGGGCAGTATTGCCCTAGACACACAAACATACACCATAGTTATCAGTCAAGACAGCAAAGCCAAGGGACCCTGGACCCAGGAGAAGCACCACCACCCTGGTACCCCAGGTGGTAAAGCCAGTGACACCAGGAGCAGCAGGGCACCCACGACGCTGGAGACACAAGCAGCGATGAGGAGGAGGTGGACTGTGGAAGTGTTGACTCTCGATAATAAAGAGGCAGCGCGGGGAAGAGAAAGACGGAACTTGTGCTGTAGCACCACCTGCTGGAGAACAAAAGAAAGGCTTCTAATTTCTAACTTAGAATCAAGTAATATTAAAAAAAACACCTTACCGCTACTGGTGAAGAACCTGCCTGCCAATGCAAGAAACATTTAAAAGATGGCAATGACCCTATATGCAAGACAGCAAAAGAGACACAGATGTAAAGAACAGACTTTTGGACTCTGTGGGAGAAGGTGAGGGTGGGGTGATTTGAGAGAATAGCATTGAAACATGTATATTACCATATGTGAAATAGATCGCCAGTCCAGGTTCGATGCCCCAGACAGGGCGCTCAGGGCCGGTGCACTGGGATGACCCTGAGGGGTGGGATGGGGAGGGAGGTGGGAGGGGGTTTCAGGATGGGGACACATGTACCCCCATGACTGTTTCATGTGAATGTATGGCAAAACCACTACAATATTGTAAAGTAATGAGCCTCCAATTAAAATAAATAAATTAATTAAAAAAACAAAACAACAACAACAAAAAACAAGTCAGCTTACTGTGGTCTAGCAGGAAAAACACATCATTTTCTCTTCCTGTTAAGAAAGGGAAAAGTTCTTTAAAATGAGTGGCATTTCATGCAGACAGGCACAAACAGTAGCCTGTCACATGTACATCACATCCCTTTGGCATCACTGGGGTTTATGTCTGTCAATTTTCAATCACAAGGCAAAAACTCAATAGATCTTTTTATATAAACCACAAAATGTGTATAAGTGAGGGGAATAAAGCTGTTGACATTAAAAAAAAAAAAGAAAGAAAGAAACGTAAGATATGCAGGCTTGAACCCTGGGTCAAGAAGACCCCCCTGGTATAAGAAATGGCAACGAACTCCAGTGTTCTTGCCTGGAGACTCCCATGGACAGAGGAGCCCCGAGGGCTATAGTCCATAGGGTCGCAAAGAGTAGGGCACGACTGAAGCCTGCTTTTACTGCTGAGGCCAGGGTTGGAGAACTAAGATTCCACAAATTGTGCAGTGTGGCCAAAAAAAAGAAAAAGAAAGGCATTCACTACTTCAAATGTGCTGGCAGAGAAACAATTCATCAAGCATCATGAAGAACCATAGTAAGAGTGTATCACAAAAAAGAAAATGATGATCTTCTAGAAACCAAACTTAAGGTCACAGAATGTTGTGATCTATCTGAGAATTCAAAATAGCTGTCATGAAGAAACTCGACAAGCTACAGGAAAACTCAGGAAGGCAGTTCAATGAGTGCGGTAATGAAATTAATGAACAGAAGAACTACTTTACCAAAGTGATTGAAACTAAAAAAGAACCAACAGAAATTCTGGAGTTGAAGAACTCAACAAGATGAAAAATGCATTAGAAAGTTTTGGAAACAGAGCAGATGATATGGAAGAGAGAATTGGCAAGTTCAAAGATAGAAATCTTAAAATGATACAGGTAGAAGAGGAAAGAGAACCGAGATCTCAAAAAGTAAGGAAATTCTAAGGGAATCATCCAACACTTTTAGGGCAGCATTAGGATAATTGGTACTCAGAGATGAGAGGGAGAAGGGTGCAGAGAAGTTATTTAAAGAAATAATCACTGAGACTTCCCAAACCTAGAGAAGGAACAGGTTATATAAGTTCATGAAGCTAAAAGAACAACTAGTTACCTCAATGCAAAAAGACCTTCTCCAAGACAAATTATATCAAAACTGTCAAAAGTCAATGACCAAGAATGAATTTTAAAGGCAGCTGGGGGAAAGGGTGATAACCTACAAAGGAACCCCAGTTAGGCTGTATGCAGATTTCTTAGCAGAAACTCCATAAGCCAGGAGAGAATGAAGTGACCTTCTCAAAATACAGAAAGATCCTGGAAACCAACAGAAATCCAGGAACCCAAACCCAGGACAGAACAATTCCCTTGACCGCATCTAGTGGAGAACAAGTATTTATCACTAGAACATGCTGTGTGTAATTTGTGATATATACATTCATGCTTGAGTTAAGAGTTTAGGAAATTGTACCTAGTTCTCCTCCCATGATATATGTTCAGTTACTGTCAGTGAATGGCAGTAACATAAAATTTATGAAATCCTGAATTAAGGAGCACCCCCTTCCTGGAGAGTGAGAACCATGACCTGCTCAGCGGACAGTAGTTGGAATACTAGTGCCTAGAATGTGCAGACTAGTCAAATGGCTTAAACCCACTTAAGCACCTACTTAAATCAGAATCATCTGGGGAGATTGTTAGACACACAAATCTTAAGGACCTATTCCACACCCGCTGAGTCTGGGTTTAAGGATCTTCTTGTCAGCGACTTCCCCAGGTGGCTGAGAGACAAACCCCGTGTGTAGGGCTTATATTTCATAACAAGTAAACAAGAGCATCCCCTCTAAAAAAGATCCTAGATTCCTGACCTTCCTAAAAGGGATGTGCCCCTGGATCCTGCCCTCAAGGCTCCAAGAGCCCCAGAGCTGATCTCTGAAGGTCTAGGTCTTAAACTAGACCCTGGGTTTTCCCAAATAGGTGAAAGAAAACATGCTTCCACCAGGACCTTGGGATGGCCACATGGAGGCCCCAAGAGCTCCAGTCTTCAGAGTTTAACCCCACCCCCACGAAGAAGCTCCATGGCTAGAATGCTGGGGAGATGGCCCGGGCCTCCCCACCATCCTACATGATGGGAATGCCCTCTGAGACCCTAAATACCCCTCCAGATGTATTACTGAAAATGCTCAGGGATGGAAGGAGCTACTTCAAATGCCGGGGAACAAGCCTTCCTATGGAGTTCTTTCTTTTTTTTGTTGTTTTTTTAACTTATTTATTTGACTGTACCAAGTCTTAGTTGTGGCACTCAGGAGTTTAGTTGCTGCATGTGGGATCTAGTTCCCTGACCAGGGATCAAATCTGGACCCCCTGCATTGGGGGGCTCTGAATCTTAGCCACTGGACCACCAGGGAATCCCTGGAGTTCATTCTTTAAAATGGATATGACAGGAGCATCTAATTAACTGCCTTTTCTATCTCCTTGAGGGAGCCACTGGCCTGCACCCCCTCAGACATCTGAAACCTCAAATGTGTGTTGAATGTTTTTATAGTAAAGAAAATAGTTAAACCTTTTAGTTAAAAATAAACAGATAATAAACCAATGTTGGTTTCTTAGTTTTGACAAATACTCTATGTGTAGGGTCAGGCCACCCAAGATGGCTGCTCTTTTGCTCTCTGTACATCCCCTGCCCAACCAACACCTGCTTCACTGACACTCCGTTCACTTGACTGACCTTTCTACACACGTGCCCTGCTCCCAGCTAATGGCTATTCTAGCTTTCGATCAGAGCTCTCCACTATGCTTATCAAGGGGATGGTGAGGGGCGTGCCCCTCTGCTGGTTTCTCTGGTAACTGATGAGCCAAGACGATGTCAATTCCCCCCTGAAACTGGTAACCTCCCCACACCACCCCACACCAAGACTACTACCACGTCCTGTCCAGCCATCTGCTACACATGATGGAGTATTGCTCCAGGACTTTGCTTCGGACGTGTAAGCTCCTCCATCCACTAAACCAGTGATGACTCTGTTGTTCACTCTGGGCTCTGTCTTTGGTCTTGAAGTTGGGCAAGTACAGGGCTTGTAAGCCTGGGCTGGTACGTGGCAGCCCAGCACCTTGGTAATGTAAGATGTCAACACTGAGGGGAAATGGGTGAGAGGTATAGGAGAACTCTCTCCCTTTGCAGTTTTAAATTATTCTAAAATAAAAGTTTGTTAAAAATAGATGGAAACCACCTGCTAGAGCCTGCAGGGCTCCATTTAGGCCTGTCTTAAATCCCAGCCCTTCTGCAGGGTCTGGCCTCTCTGACAGAGGCTCAGCTTCCATGACCTGGGTTTCCTCTCATTCCATCATCCCTTAGGATGGTGTCTCAGCCCTGCTCTCCTCGTGGGCTGGGTGGAACTTCTTATAAAAACCTCTACTAAATCCTTACTACCAGCCCATCCAAGCCACATCCAGCAGTTTCTTCCAACCCGGCACCCCGAGCCCGATCTCCTGGGAGACTACTGTATTATTTCCATCTAGCTGAGATCATAAGATTGAAATGGTGTGGAATTAATTTACCTGCATCTAAGATTTGGCTTGAAATGTATTTCCTCTATTGATATTCCTTGCATATGTACCTCCTATAAAAATGACATGAGACACTGAGTGGGGATGGAAAAGAAAGAAAATTGGGAGGGGTCATCAACTTTACTTGAAATACTTTTAAAGGGCACATTTTAACTCGTAGGGAGTGGCCAGGGATGAGAGTGGATTTTTTAAAATCATGCTCCAGCATGCTTATTTTAGGTGGTAACTCTTCAGAGGGACTATTTTGAAAAAATTTACAGTGAGCATTGGGCCCTTTTGAAACTCCCAGTCATAAGAATATGAAGAAAGTAGGGGGAAATGTTCTCTTTGTGAGGTACTCTGAATGGAATGCATTGTGTGAGGCAAAAAGAAAACTTCATTTGGGTAAGATGCTAATTGTATTCTTCCTTATCACCCAGGAGAAGCTGACAACCTATATTTTACTCCTCAAAAAAGAAAATAAAAGGCTTAACTCATTCAGGTGGGTAACTCAGGAATGTCTAAGAGCACAGTGGAATGAAATGTTTCCTTTTCATTTTCTCTTTTGAAAAACATTAACCCATTGTTTATTCCAAAAGTGTGATGTGGCCTGCAGGATCCTGGAACACTGACTGACCATTTATTTATCAGATATATTAGGCATGCAAAGCTAGGAACTGTTCTCGCCTGGAGCTTTGCAAGGTGTGGCCCTTGCAATGTTCCATCTAGAAGCATGGCACATATTAACATACCTTCAGAATGAGGCAGTGGTTCTCAGCTGAGGGTAATTTTTCTTTCCACCCCCACCCCCCCACCAGACATTTGGTCGTGTCTGGAGGCAATTTTGATAGTCCAAGCTGTAGGTGGGGTGGGGATGGGGAATGAAGCTGCTGGCTCTAGTGTATAGAGGTTAGGGATGCCGCTAAACAGCCTACCATGCATGAAACAGCCCCAACGGCAAAGTATCCCGTCCGCAATGTCAATAGTGCCAGGGTAGAGGTGGTGCAGTGGTAAAGAACCTGCCTGACAATGCCCAGAGACACAGGAGATGCGGGTTTGATCCCTGGGTCGAGAATATACCCCTGGAGGAAATGGCAACCCCCTCCAGAATTCTTGCCTGGGAAATTCCATGGACAGAGGAGCCTGGCGGGCTATAGGGGTCAGAAAGAGTCAGACACAACTGAGCACTCACATGCACAGAGCAATGCAAAAGTTTCTTCAAGGTGGAAAAAATATTATAATTACATTATAGTGGTATTAGTCTAGAGATCTGAGTCAGATACTAGTCAGGTGCTCCAGAGGAGCAGAGAAGGAAAGATCACGTCCACTTGGGGTGATCAGAGAAGGTTTTAAGCCTTCAAGTGGATTTTCTGTGATTCAGGGTACCTCATTTCTCCTAAGTCTTTGGGCCATCTAGAGTCCCTAAATCTTGTATTTCTGTATTTCAGGCAATATTCTGTATTTCAGTACCTGGTGAAAAATCCTTGCCTGGCCAAATAATTTGATTCTTTGTGCTGGAAAGTGACAGGATTCATTCAGAAGCCCCAAGCTTCCTCCTGGCTTGAAGTAAGTGACAATTCTTTCTCTGATTCTCTACTTGGTGACCCCAAACCCCATAAAATATGATTCTCTGTCTGCTGTGGTTAATGTGTTCCTGTATCTGTCTCTCCCAACATGGAAATATAGCATTTTGCTTATAATTTCGAGGGATCCAGAGGTCCCCAGGAACACATCTCTGAACCTAAGGGTGCATGGGACCCAGAAAAAATATTTTCCTCCAAAGTTTACTGAGCAACAAAATCTACTGGGTCGGTGAGAGCCCTTGGAACTGAGCCAGCTGTATTCCCAAAATCAACAAGCTCTTTTTCACATGCTACACTCATCTGCCTCTTGTTTTTCTATCATTGAATTATGTTTGATTTTGCTACTGCTGCTTCATTAAAATCACTTTAGCTCATGTCATGACTTGTCAAAATCCAACTCCCATAGGAGATTTTCTAACCCACAAGGATGGCTTTCTCTCAATCATAAAGAACATTTCTGGTGAGTTCCCTCAAGATAAGGGAACTGCTAGTGAGTGTGTCCATGAAGTCCTAGAGGAGGGGATCTTTGCTTGAAGGAGCTTAAGAAAAACCACCAGCAAAGTCTGTGGTCGGTACACAAAATATTGCTTCAGGGTGCCCAAAAAATAGCCTGACTCTACCCAGAAGAGAGGTGCCAGGAACTGCGTTGCTACTGTGAACATGCCTGAAGACCCAGCTGATGGGTCAGCAGCAGTGCATGTGTGCTCGGTGGTGTCTGACTCTTTGCGACCCCATGGACTCAATGGACGTGAGTTTGTGCAAACTCCGGGAGATAGTGAAGGACCCAGAAGTCTGGCAAAGCAGCGGACAGGACTGAGTGACTGAACAATATCAAAGGTAGTCAGGCATGGCTACTGAACCTTGAAATATGGCTAGTCCAGGGGACTCTTTACCCCCTCTCAGTGTCTATGCTGGAAGCTTTGTACTTTCCTCCTCTTCAATAAATCCTGTTTGCTTGCTACCATGAGTGTCTGCATGTTTGTGGATTCCATTCTTCTGCTCTGCGAACAAGAACTCTGATTCCAGTCTCAAGAGCAGCCCTGAAATATGCACTGAGCTGAAATATCACCTTCCAAAGGACCTTTGTGTTGTTCTGCTGCCGGTAGATGGGGAAGGCTGGTGCCCTCCAGTCTGCTGGGGAACCCAGAGCCCCATACATCCTCAACTGGGTTGGGAGAGCCTGACAACGTGTTGGACATCAGAAAATAATTCATCAAAGAGAAACCGGTTCCCTCTCTCTGAAATATGGCTAGTCTGTAACAAGATGTGCTGTCAGTTTAAAACAAGATGTGCTGTCAGATTGTGAAGATACAGTATAAACCAGAGATATAACTATTTCATTAACAATTTTATAATGATTACATGTTGAAATCATGATATGTGGTATATATTGGGTGAAATGAAATAGATTATTATAGTTAATTTCACCTATTTCATTTTACTTTTTAAATGTGGGCTTCTTTAAAACCTCCTTGAGATTGCATTTGAGAGTCTCTTTAGAATTTACATCAGGATTTCTTTTTTTTTAATTTTTATTGGAGTAGAGTTGCTTTACAATGTTGTATTAGGTTCTACTGTACAGCTAAATGAATCAGTTATATGTATACATATATCCCCTCTTTTTTAGGTTTTCTTCCTATTGAGGTCACCACAGAGCATTGAGTTGAGTCCCCTTTGCTATACTGAAATGTGGCTTTTAAGAAATTTCATATTATGCTTGTGTATCAGATTTAGGTCTGTATTATATTTCTATCAGACCCTGCTGCTCTAGAACCTCATGTACTTCCTGAAGGCCAGTTTTAACCTCTGTGGATTCCTTTTCTATCAGGCTAAATGACCTGTTGAAGAGCTGGTATATGACCCTGAAGAACCAGCTCAGATCCCTGGAATCCCTTAGATTAGGCTAAACTCTAAGGTCTAGAATGTAATTTTAATTGTTTAGTACATGGTCTCTTAATGGGTGCTGTAGATTGAATATTTGTGTCCCCCTCAAAATTCATACCATTGAAACTTAATACCAACATGACGGTGTTAGGAGTTGAGGCCTTTGGAGGTGTTGAGGTCTTGAGGATGGAGCCCTCATGAATGGGATTAATATGCTTATAAAAGAGACCCCCACAGAGCTCCCTCAACCCCTCAACTATGTGCATGCGTGGGTGTTCAGTTGTGTCCTACTCTTTGTGACCTCATGGATCTTAGCCTACCAGGCTCCTCTGTTCATGGGATTATCCTGGCAAGAATACTGGAATGGGTTGCCATTTCCTGCTCCAGGGGATCTTCCCAGCCCAGCGATTGAACCCAAGTCTCCTGTATCTCCTGCATTGGCAGGTGGATTCTTTACCACTGAGCCGCCTGGGAAGCCCTCTCTACTATGTGAAGACACAGCAAAAAGATAGTCATCTGTGAGGAAGTGGGCACTTCAGTTCAGTTCAGTCACTCAGTCATGTCCGACTCTTTGCGACCCCATGGACCACAGCATGCCAGGCCTCCCTGTCCATCACCAACTCCCAGAGTTTACCCAAACTCATGTCCATTGAGTTGGTGAGGCCATCCAACCATCTCATCCTCTGTCATCCCCTTCTCCTCCCACCTTCAATCTTTCCCAGCGTCAGGGTCTTTTCAAATGAGTCAGTTGTTCACATCAGATGACCAAAGTATTAGAGCCTCAGCTTCAGTATCAGTCCTTCCAGTGAATGTTCAGGACTGATTTTATTTAGGAAGGACTGGTTGGATTTTCTTGCAGTCCAATGCTTCAAAAGCATCAATTTTTCTGTGCTCAGCTTTCTTTATAGTCCAACTCTCACATCCATACATGACTACTGGAAAAACCATAGCTTTGACTAGATGGATCTTTGTTGGCAAAATAATGTCTCTGCTTTTTAATATGCTGTCTAGGTTGGTCATAGCTTTTCTTTCTTTTTTTTTTTAAATTGGTTTTCTCTTTATTTTTTTAAAAACATTTATTTTTATTTATTTGGCTACATAGAGTCTTATTTGTGGCATGTGGGATCTAATTCCCTAACCAGGGATCGAACCCAGCCCCCTGTATCAGGAGTACAGAGTCTTAGCCACTGGACCACCAGGGAATTCTCAAGTCATAGCTTTTCTTCCAAGGAGCAAGCATCTTTTAATTTCATGGCTGCAATCACCATCTGCAATGACTTTGGAGCCCCAAAAAATAAAGTCTGTCGCTGTTTCCATTGTTTCCCCATCTATTTGCCATGAAGTGATGGGACCAGATGCCATGATCTGAGTTTTCTGAATGTTGAGTTTTAAGCCAACTTTTTCACTGTCCTCTTTCATTTTCATCTAGAGGCTCTTTAGTTCTTCTTCACTTTCTGCCGTAAGGGTGGTGTCATCTGCGTATCTGAGGTGATTGATATTTCTCCCAGCAATCTTGATTCCAGCTTGTGCTTCATCCAGCCCAGCATTTTGCATGATGTACTCTGCATATAAGTTAAATAAGCAGGGTGACAATGTGCAGCCTTGATGTACTCCTTTCCCAATTTGGAACCAGTTGTTGCCATGTTCTGTTGTTCCATGTCCAGTTCTAACTGTTGCTTCTTGACCTACATACAGCTTTCTCAGGAGGCAGGTCAGGGTGGTCTGGTATTCCCATCTCTTTCAGAATTTTCCACAGTTTATTGTGATCTACACAGTCAAAGGCTTTGATGTAGTCAATAAAGCAAAAGTAGATGTTTTTCTGGAACTCTCTTGCTTTTTCGATGATCCTGTGGATGTTGGCAATTTGATCTCTGATTCCTCTGCCTTTTCTAAATAAAATCGACTTTTATTATTAGCCATGTTGATCCTCAGCAATTCACTCTCAGTGGTGGAAATATACAGGCTGAGACTCTGGGGTTCTCAGCAAAGAATGAAACTGATTTCCTTGGGAATGCCTAACTTTTCCCTACTGATTTTCATGCAAAGAAAATCTGTACATATAATGAGCAGAAACCAAAATATTTTGTAGGAAGATACTCTGAGGCTATGTAAATGTCACTTTTTTAACCTGTTATTTTACCATTCATTGACATTTCTTGGCTCAGTTCATTATTATTTCCATGGTTGCCAAATAGTGATTTTTCAATTCCAACATTCCTTCTATTTACTAGTTGGAATTCTACTGTAAAGAAAACTTTGTCTCTATATTTATTTATAGTAGTATGGACTCTTGGGTTACAACTTGTTACTACCATTTATTTTGAAGGTCAAATCATCCCAGATTTCACCAGTAAAAGCCCCAGAATCTTGTTGCACAGCTGCCCCAGCTGTGGAGTTGGCCACTTACCTGTGAAGCCCTGGCTCATTTTAGTGAAGAGTGGTATTTGAATACCAAGGTCTCGGCACTAGTGTGCTCATAGGTTTTGGGGTATTGCTGCTGCTTCTAGGATCTCTCAGTGACAGAGCTAAGGAATATATGTGTGCATCCATAGAATACATACTGACATCTTTATTTCTAGGTACAGCCAAATGTATTTTGAAAACCATACATTCACGCTAACTACAGGTTCTGTCCAATAGCACAGGTTCATTCTAGTTTTCTACCTTTTTCATATTTATAACTTCCTTCTCCCACAGTGAGAAACTTGGCTCCCATTATACTATATTTTGGGTTGGCCAGAAAAGCTCATTTGGGTTTTCTGTAAAATGTTATGGAAAAACTGAAATGTACTTTTTGGCCAACCCAACATTTATTTATTCCCCTACTGTCCCTGCTACACTACTAATCTCCCATTGGTGCTACGACCACGATTCCCCAGTCTCATATGGAAACTGAAAGTTAAAGTTGCTTAGTCATGTCCAACTCTTTGCCATTGTGTAGTCCATGGAATTGTCCAGGCCAGAATACTGGAGTGGGTAGCCTTTCCCTTCTCTAGGGGATCTTCCCAACCCAGGGATCAAACCCGGGTCTGCTGCATTGCAGGCAGATTCTTTACCAGCTGAGCCACAACCTCCTAAACCCAGGAGGGCTCTACCAGCCTGTGTGAGGCCACTGCCACACCCCCATGTCGACGTTCTCCTCACCCCTCATTGGCTCGGAGACCCCACACTGGGCTGCTAGTGAGATCACCACACCCAGACGCAGATGCCTTGCTCCTCCTAGTCTGCTGCCCATCCCCATGCAAACGCCTGCCTCACTCTGCCATCCAGGTGACTTGACTAAATTATTCAGGAAGGCAGGCAAGCAGGCAGGCCTGAATCAATTAAAATATCTGAAACAATTTGGAGCATAAGCTAGCCTGTTATAGAGCTCTTTAGGACAGCCTACAACATTCTTTACAATCTCGTCTGGTCT